ATGCCTACACTTTAGCATGTCATTTACACTAGTACAGGGACATGAGAATCTTATTTCATTCATCTTATACCTGTATACTTGCTTTATTGCTTCTATATGATATTTTGGACTGGGCCTGCGTGTAGCAACCCCTTTGGGAGGATGCTACTTACGAAACAAATCTAATTTACTACTTGCAACTATAAGAAGACATTAATAAAAAAAATATTCCGAATAATTTAGTAGCGGAAATAGGCCCATGCGATGAGGTCCAAAGTACAATTTTTTTTTTTTTTGAAAATACTCTTCATAATTTTATTTTATTTTTAAAAATAAAATACAATGTCAAAATATCAACATAAGGTGATATAACCCTTCTTGAATAATCAACATCACTGTAAGTTTGTATTATACATAAATTTCAAGCTATCGGGTATTAAAAAAAACTAGTTTTCTCCTTTGTACATATATATAAGACAAAGTGTAAATTCAACATATTACAAGACTTGAGTTATTAACACACTTTAAAACAGCAAAATAAGCTACCAAATTCAAGTTACAAGATTTTGGTCTTAATATACAAGCCTCCAAATAACATACATAAGTGTGACATATATATCATGTACAAATCCCAAAACTATACAAAACTATGGTGCATATGCAAATGTGATCTCCATAAGTGCTCCCAAAAAGACTACTTCATAAAGCCGTCTTCAGATTTCATCTTGTACATTACCTACGATAGAAAACAACTATCGCTAAACATAAAGCTTAGTGGCGTATAAATGTAATGATCTGGCCGGTCATTTTGAGTATTATAACCCTGTTTCCCCATTTACTGCTCAATTTATGCTTTACATTTGTTATGTGACTTGTCGGGGGTAATTGGTTCGGGTCCGGTGAGGTTTTTGAATAATTTGAAACATCTAGTTCCAAGGTTTCGATTTTTGGTTGAAAAGGTTGACCAGATATTGACGTATGTGTAGTGACCCGGAGAATTTTTGCTAAGGAAAAATTAAGGTTTTGTGGTGTCGAGGTAGATCAATTAGTACAAAGATTGTAGAAATTACTCACGGCGAGCTTGCTCGCCGCTGCTCGAACTTTTTGGGTTGAACAATACACCGCGAAGTAAAGGAAAATTTTTGGCGAAAAAAAGCGTTTCTGCGGTCCATTATGCGACCGCATAATGGCCGTAAAAGTGAGGCAGAAGAGGGCCAGTTTGGATGTTAATTTGCGGTCGACTATGCGACCGCATAACTGTTCTGTGGTCACTATGCGACCGCAGAACAGGTATGCGGGCTGCATAGTGACCGCATACACAGACAGATGTTTACCAGTATTGGGCACCGATTATGCGACCGATATGCGATCCCATATTGCGACCGCAGAACCTATTCCGGAGCTTGAGTTTTTTGGTTTTATAATCCCGATCCCATTCTTATAAAACACTATTGGGGGTCATTCTGAAGGGTTTCATCTGATATTTTAGAGAGAGGTGAGAGCATTTTAGAGAGAGAAAGTGAAGACTTAGTCATTTATCCATCAATTTCTTGTTCAAGGTTTGAAGATTTCACAAGAATCTTGCTAGGGCTTCAAAGAGGTAAGAATTTCTTTCCTCAATTCTTCAATTTCGGGTTTGGAGCAAAGATGAGTGATTAATAGTATAATTCTTGAGTGTAAGAGTATTATGTATACATACCAATAAGGTTGTGGAAAGATTGTTAAGTTCAAATGGGTAAAGATTGGGTTGAAAATGGTAGAAATCTTCATAGACTTTAATTGAAGATTTGAGGTTTGAGTTGATATCGGATTTTGGTAAAATTTATATGGTTGGACTCGTGGTTGGATGGGCGTTCATATTCTATAACTTTTGTCGGGTTCCGAGACGTGGGCCCCACGGGCGATTTTGAGTTAATTTCGGAATTTTTGTTAAACTGTTGATTGCGTTAATTAGATGAGTCTATTATTGTTGTATTTATGATATGTAATTGCGTTTGGCTAGATTTGGGCCATTCGGAGTTGGATATTCGTGGGAAAGGTATTGTGACCGATTGATTGAGCTTGGTTCGAGGTAAGTGGCTTGCCTAACTTCGTGTGAGGGAAATCCCCTTAATATTTGGAACTATTGTGCTATGTGAGCGCCGTGTATGTGAGGTGACGAGTACGTACACGGGCTAGTTGTGGAAAAACCCGATTTTCTTATTGAGCAGAAACATGTTTTCCTGTTATTTTGAGTTATACCATTTTAATGAGTACTTATCTATTTTCATTCTTAATTGAGTTATTCCAATATGTGTAGCTATCATGTTTAGTCTAATACAACATGTCTACGTGTCTTAATTGTTTATGTGAATTATGTGCAACATGCTTAATGAATTTCCTGCTTCTTCCCTGACTGGTACTTAGTCTAAATTGTGAGAATTTCGTGATGTAGTTGTATTTCTATCATCCGCGCTGCATATTTACTTTGGGACTAAGGAACGGTATTTCGGGGATCCCCCTGTACTGCATATTTCCTTTGGGACTACGGAACGGTATTACGGGAGATCTCCCTGTCTTGCATATTTACTTTGGGACTACGGAACGGTATTCCGGGAGATCCCTCTACATATTTATTTTGGGACTACGGAACGATATTCCGAGAGATCCCCCTGCACATTTATTTTGGGACTACGGAACGGTATTCCGGGAGATTTTCCTGCACATTTATTTTGGGACTACGGAATGGTATTCCGGGAGATCCCCCTGCACATTTATTTTGGGACTACGGAATGGTATTCCGGGAGATCCCCCTGCACATTTATTTTGGGACTACGGAACGATATTCCGGAAGATCCCCCCCCTGCACATTTATTTTGGGACTACAAGACGATATCTCGGGAGATCCCCTGTTGTGTTTCTGTGTACTGATTTGTTACCTTCTATGATTTTATTGTTGTTAAATTTTAGCCTTTATTTTATTACGGTATTACACTCTATATTATTTTATTATATATTTACCAGTAGGGCCCTAACCTGACCGCGTCACTACTCGACCGAGGTTAGGCTTGGCACTTACTGGGTACCGATTGTGGTGTACTCATGCTATTCTCTGCACATATTTTTCGTGTGCAGATCCAGGTGCACCTTATCAGCCGCACTATCAGTGAGCCGGGACAGCTTTGGAGACTTTAAGGTATATCTGTCGCGTTCGCAGACCTCGGAGTCCCCTTCTACTCTTTCTCATGTCCATTATCTTCTGTATTTTTCCTTGTTAGACTCTGATGTATAGAGACACTAGATTTTTCCTTCTGTAGTTTGTGATTCACGATGTTCTGGGTTTTTGGGATTTGTTGTGTATTTTTGAACGGTTAAGTGTTAAAATTATGTTTTTATTTCATTATTCAGCAAATGTCAATCTTACCTAGTCTTAGAGACTAGGTGCCGTCACGACGTTATAAGGAGGAAAAATTTGGGTCGTGACAATAAACTTTGGGCTTGGAGCCATTAACTTCTCCAATTTCCATTTTCAGTCATAGGTAGCTCAAATGAAACATAATTTAAAACAAGTGAACAAATATATCAAAAGTATCAAATATCAACCCTTGAAGTGTTTTCAAATATCAATAACAATGTTCAAGATTCAAGAGTTGAGAAAGCGTATACTATCAATCCAAGAAAGCTTGTCAAATAACCATTTTTCGCCCAATATGTACGTCATGCCATCATACTAAGCATAATCAGATATCAAGATGGACCAAAAACTTAATTATAATGTATTTAACAATAATTTATCAAAATAATATTAAGTGTTACACACAGTAACACCATGGAACTTCTTTGTCAATATTAACACAACCTAGAGTAAGGAATTTTTATGTATTGTCAATTTTACGTTTAGGAAGTGCGAAGTAAAAATATCTCATCATTATAAAGATACTCAATCGAAAATACAAATATTAGTAAAAATTTGGGGTGTTACAACTCTCTCCCCCCTTAAATAAATTTCGTCCCGAAATTTACCTGGTACTAATCCCTAAACAAATGTGGATATTGAACTCGCATATCCTCTTCTCGCTCCCAGGTAGCTTCTTCGCTAGAATAATTTTTCCAAAGAACTTTCACTAGGGGGATGCTCTTGTTTCTAAGCTCCTTTAACTCACGCGTTAAGATTTGGATTGGTTCTTCTCCATATGTCAAATCAGGATTGACCTCAATTGATTCAACAGGAAGAACATGAGATGGATCTGAGCGGTATCTTCTAAGCGTAGAAACATGGAAGACGTTGTGGATCTTGTCTAACTCTGGTGGAAGAGCTAGTTTATAAGCAACCGGGACAACTCTCTCAAGCACTTCATAAGGTCCAATAAATCGTGGACTAAGTTTACCTTTTTGGCCAAATCTCATAATCTTCTTCCATGGAGAAACCTTTAAAAATACCTCATCACTCGCTTTATACTCAATTTCACGTCTTTTAAGATCAGCACAAGACTTTTGTCTGTCTGAGGCAATGTTTAAGCGATCCTTGATGATTTTTACCTTATCTTCAGTTTGTTGAACAATCTCAGGACCCACCAATTTTCTTTCACCAACCTCGTTCCAACAAAGAGGCGTTCTGCATTTTCTCCCATACAAAGCTTCATAAGGAGGCATGCCTATAATTGATTGGTAGCTATTATTGTAAGCAAATTCTATCAGGGCTAAGTGTTTGTCCCAACTACCCTCAAACTCAATAATGCAGGCTCGAAGCATATCCTCCAAGATTTGTATTACCCTCTCAGACTGGCCATCTGTTTTTGGATGGAAAGCGATACTAAAATTCAACCTAGAGCCCAAAGCTTCTTGCAAGCTAGAGTAAATATGTGACATTTCTCCCCGTACAAGTAATGCCTCCAAATTTTTAAGGCAAAAATAATGGCAGCAAGTTCAAGATCGTGAGTGGGATAATTCAACTCATGCAATTTCAACTTTCGAGAGGCATAAGCAATTACTTTCCCTTCTTGCATCAAAACACAACCCAAGCCACAGTGAGGTGCATCACTCTATACCACATAATCTTTCCTTTCAGCTAACAAGGAAAGTATTAGAGCTTGTGTCAACAAGGATTTGAGCTTTTCAAAGCTCTCTTGACACTTGTCATCCCACACAAATTTGGCGTCTTTCCCCAAAAATTTGGTCAAAGGAGAAGCTATAATAGAGAAGCCCTTCACGAACCTCCTATAGTATCCTGCTAAGCCCAAGAAACTTCTGATCTCAGTTGGAGTTTTAGGAGTTTTCCAATCAACAATAGCTTGAATCTCACTAGGATCAACCTTCAAACCTTCAGCTGATACAATATGCCCCAAAAATTCCACTTCACTCAGCCAAAATTCACATTTGGAAAGCTTCGCGTGGAGTTGACTCTCTTTCAAAATTTGCATGACAATCCGTAGATGTTTATCATGATCTTCTCTATTCTTGGAATATACTAAAATGTCATCAATAAACACCACCACAAATTGATCAATATAAGGCTTGAATACACGGTTCATTAGATCCATAAATGCAGCAGGAGCATTTGTCAAACCAAATGGCATTACCAAAAATTCATAATGGCCATACCTGGTCCTAAAAGCAGTTTTAGGAACATCTTGCTCCTTCACGCGCAACTGATAATATCCAGACCTTAAGTCAATTTTTGAGAACAAGCTGGCACCCTTCAGTTGGTCAAACAAGTCATCGATTCTAGGCAGTGGGTATTTGTTCTTGATTGTTACCTTGTTCAGCTGTCGGTAATCAATGCAAAGCCTGAGAGTGCCATCTTAATTTTTCACAAATAAAATAGGATCTCCCCAAGGTGAAATACTGTGACGGATAAAACCTTTCTCAAGAAGTTCCTGCAATTGAGCCTTCAACTCTTTTAATTCAACTGGAGCCATTCTATAAGGAGCGATAGAAAGAGGAGTAGTTCTAGGAACAAGCTTTATAGGAAATTCAATATCCATTTCTTGAGGCAACCCAGGAAGATCATCAGGAAATACAGCAGGAGAGTCGCACACGATTGGTATGTCCTTAAGACTTGGACTCCCCAATCGTGTATCGACTATAGGAGTAAGATAGGTATCACAACCTTGACAAATCATCTTCCTTTCCAAAATCGCAGAAATAATATTAGTTGTCAATGATCTTTCTCCTTGAACTACTATGTGTGAGTATGCAGGAGTTCTAAAAGTTACTTACTTCAACCTACAATCAACCAACGCATGGTGCCTATGAAGCCAATCTATACCAACAATAACATCATAGTCTTGGAAGGGTATTTCAAGCAAGTATGCAGGGAAGACCAGATTTTGAATCATGAATGGACAATCTTGGTAAATCCTGTTAACAACAGCCTGATGACCTAATGGACTCGTGACCAGCACATCAAAGTCAAGTCTAACAGATTTAACAATATCAGGAAATGCAAGTGATGAGAAAACATAAGAGTGCGAAGATCCAGGATCAAATATGTAACAACATATATGCCAAATAAGTGAAATTTATCAACAACCACGTTCGGGTCATCTTGGTCATTCTTCTGTCTCATAGCATAGACTCGTGTAGTAGATCTCGACCCACTAGCCTGATTATCTCCACCCGAACCTGCCGCTTGCATATTTCTAGGTCTTGCACCGCTATTAGCTTGAGAATGAGTAGTGATAGGCTTTTGAACTGAGCCCTCTGTATGTGTATAAGAAAGAGGATTAGGATTAGGACAATCCTTCACTTTATGATCCATACTTCCATAATTAAAACAAGCACCAGAAGCTCTTCTGCAGGCACCATAGTGATTCTTTTCGCACTGTGCACAAGTAGGTATATAAGTTTTGCCTTGGCCATAACTTGGAGTACTAGCAGTAGAGAAATTTGGCTTATTCTGCTTATGATATGATGACTTTTGTGCACTTTCAGTCTTGGAATAGTCAAACTTTTCTTTCTTGGATGGACCGCCATAATCTTAATTACCCTTCCTAAACCTGTTTTCTCTCCTACTAGCTTCTTCCTTGTCAATTCTTTCCCAAGTAAGAGCAGCTGAAATTAGCTTGGAAAAATCCTCAAGTTGCAAGATTGCCACAGATTTTCGAATGTAACCATTCAAACCTTCTTCAAATCTTCTGCACTTGTCTCTTTCACCATCAATAATACCTCCAGCATAGTGAGAAAGCTTGAGAAATTTTTGTTGATACTCTGCAATAGACATACTCCCTTGTCTTAAATTCAGAAACTCTTTTTTCTTTGCATCACAGTAGACAGGGGGGGACATATTTCGCACGAAATGCTTTCACAAAGTCATCCCAAGTCAGCACTGGAGGTTTTTTTTTGCATTTGGCACACTTACCCACCAATCATAGGCATCTTTTTTGTAAAAGAGAGATATCATACTTAAATTTGGCAACATTAGTACACTCTAGTTGTTCAAAGACCCTCTCCATGCGCTCGAGCCATTGTTCAGCTACCGTGGGATCAGTGTGCCTTCAAATTCAACTCCACCCATTTTTCTCATCTTCTCAAAATTCATTTCACTAGGTTCTGACATTGTCCCAGCCAAGTGTCGAAAGAACTCAGCCATCTGCTGAAATGGATGAGTCATAATATGAATACTATGACCCATTGCTCTTGGATTATTGTCCACTTTATTTTCACTAACACGATGATGATTTAGGTTAGGCAAGGGTACCTCATCTCCTTCTTGGAGGTGAGGTGGAGCATTATAATAGGTCTGACTTTCATCAAAGGATTCAATAGCTCTATTCGAAGAATAGGCCATATTAAATTCCTATAAAATATAAGATCACACTGCATTAGGGACATGTACATGATGCATATGCACAAGTAATACATCAAATTACATTAAACAAGTATGCAAAAATTTATAATCTCCAAGTCATTTTCAAGAAAGAAAATAACAAAAATATTAGGTACGATCACAACAAAAATTCTAGATTCACAAACCTAGGCTCTGATACCAAAACTTGTAGCAACCCTTTTGGGAAGGTGCTACTTACGAAACAAATCTAATTTACTACTTACAATATTAAGAAGACATTAATTAAAAAAAATATTCAGAATAATTTAGTAGCGGAAATAGGCCCATGCGATGAGGTCCAAAGTACAATATTTCTTTTTTTTGAAAATACTCTTCATAATTTTATTTTATTTTTTAAAATGAAATACAATATCAAAATATCAACATAAGGTGATATAACCCTTCTTGAATAATCAACATCACTGTAAGTTTGTATTGTACATAAATTTCAAGCTATCGGGTATAAAAAAGAAAACTAGTTTTCTCCTTTGTACATATATATATAAGACAAAGTGTAAATTCATCATATTACAAGACTTGAGTTATTAACACACCTTAAAACAGCAAAATAAGCTACCAAATTCAAGTTATAAGATTTTGGTCTTAATATCTAAGCCTTCAAATAATATACATAAGTGTGATATATATATCATGTACAAGTCTCAAAACTATACAAAACTATGGTGCATATGCAAATGTGATCTTCATAAGTGCTCCTAGAAAGACTAATTCATAAGGCCGTCTTCAAATTTCATCTCGTATATTACCTATGATAGAAAATAACTATCGCTAAGCATAAAGCTTAGTGACGTATAAACTTTGGGCTTGGAGCCATTAACTTCTCCAATTTTTATTTTCAGTCATAGGTAGATCAAATGAAACATAATTTAAAATAAGTGAACAAATATATTAAAAGTATCGAATATCAACCCTTGAAGTATTTCTAAATATCAATAACAATATTCAAGATTCAAGAGTTGAGAAAGCGTATACTATCAATCCAAAAAAGCTTGTCAAATATCTATTTTTCGCCCAATATGTACGTCATGGCATCCCACTAAGCATAATCAGATATCAATATGGACCGAAGCCCCAAATCAAGTAGGGTCAAAACCCAATAGTCAAGAGAATCAAGAACCATATTAAAAATGGCTTCCTAGTTCGTACTTAACACGGATAAGTTTCATAATTTAAGACGAACTACAAATCCAAAGTCAAGATGGCAAAAGATCCAAATAAAGAGGCATGCCAATATGAGTGACAAAATCACTGTCACAAGAAGGACAAAGTCCCAACAAGAATGCATAATGATCAAACAATCCGTACAGTTGGCGATTTAGTAAATATCTTGCAATACTTGATATAACACGAATACAATGCTATTAATTGAAGACAAGAAAAATAAAATATCAAGTTATTTCAAAATATTCCAGCAAGTAAAAAGAGTACAAAGTTTATACACAAACTTGGTATTTTACCACAAAATAGTTCAATCACAACTTGAGGACATTCGAATCGTCTACGCCCTAGACAAACAAAATCCGTCCACTTCCTCAAACACTTCCCCTTAGCTTTTATAAGGATATATATACCTTAAATACATAATAAAATATCTATATAAGTTCAGTGATTTAACATGTCAAACTAAACATGATATTGGTGAAAATTACCCAAAATATTTGAAACAGAAATTCTGGACAGTATCACTGTCTCGTGTTGTGACTCAGATTTGAAGATGAAAAATGATAAACTAGACTGTGTGGTCTTTTTTACAGTTGTAGATATATGTCTTAGAATTTCAGAACATCTTGAATCACCCCCATATCAATTTTGTACAAAACGTTATGCTAAACTTACTAACAGCAGTGCAAGGAGGGTTTGTAAAATAGAAAATCTGGGCAGCACCTGTCATGTACTTCATCACCTATTTTTTGGTAAATAAAAGACAAACCAGGTTTTGGTTACTTCATAAGAGTTATATCTATGAAATAGCTTTTCAGAAAGTCTTAGATCACTTAAAACGGAGCTCTATACAAAATGATATGAAGAAAACACTAATAGTTGTCTAGTGTAAAAACGGCTTTAGTAACTTACCACAAAAGAGAGGAGCAACTTGAGCTTCACCAAGAACGAATTTTGCTGGTTGGTTTAGTGAAAATTTATGGTGGTTTTCATGAAGTTTTCAGGTGATAAGAAGGATAGAGGGTAGGGTTTTTTCTTTTTTTCTTGAAAGAATGAAAATGGGAGCTTATGGAAGACTAAGTCAATCAAAGTTATCTTTAAGAATTTTGGATAAATATGAAATAAAAATGGCTTTCCAACTACTAAATATCCTTATATAAATACAAAAGTGTGGTAGCACAATAACTTAATTATAATATATTTAATAACAATTCATCAAAATAATATTAAGTGTTACATACAACAACACCATGGAACTTCTTTGTCAATATTAACACAACCTAGAGTAAGAAATTTTCATGTATTGTCAATTTCATGTTTAGGAAGTGCAAAGTAAAAATATCTCCTCATTATAAAGATGCTCAATCGAAAATGCAAATATTAGTAAAAATTTGGGGTGTTACACTGCGGCTATGCCATGCGGATTATATTTTTGGCACGTGAGTTGTCCGTGCAGCACGTGAGTTCTTCGTACGGATCCATGTATTGATATTATTAGCACGTGAGTTGTCCATGCAGCACATGAGTTGTCAGTGCTGATCCATATATTGATATTATTGACACGTAAGTTGTCCGTGTCGCACGTGAGTTGTCCGTGTAGCACGTGAGTGTAACAACCCGACCAGTCATTTTGAGAGTTGTAACCCTGTTCCCCCATTTACTACTCATTTTGTACTTTATAGCTGTTATGTGACTTGCCGGGGTAGTCGGTTCGGGCCCGGAGAGATTTCGAAATAAAATGAGACACTTAGTCTCAAGGTTGAAAGCTTAAGTTGAAATGGTTGAAAGAATGTTGATCTATGAGTAAATGGCTCAGGAATGAAGTTTTGATGGTTTCGTTAGCTCCGTTGGGTGATTTTGGACTTAGGAGCATGTCCGGATTGTGAATTGGAGGCCCGTAGTGGAATTAGGCTTGAAATGACGAAAGTTAGAATTTTTGGAAAGTTTGACTGGGAGTGGATTTCTTGATATCGGTGTCGGATTCCGACTCCGAAAGTTGGAGTAGGTCCGTAATGTCATTTGTGACTTGTGTGCAAAATTTTGGGTCAATCGGACGTGATTTGTTAGGTTTCGGCGTCGTTTGTAGAAGTTGAAATTTCTTAATTTCAATAGGCTTGAATTGGGGTACGATTCGTGTTTGTGATGTTGTTCGATGTGATTTGAGTGCTCGACTAAGTTCGTATCGTGTTTTAAGACTTGTTGGTATGTTTGGTTGAGGTCCCAGGGGCCTCGGGTTGATTCCGGATGGTTAATTGATCAAAAATTGAAGTTGAGAGATTGCTGAAGCTGGACTATGCTGGTCTAACTGCACCTGCGGAGCTTTGATCGTAGGTATGATGGGTTGCGCAGGTGCGAGTTTGGATGGGTGTGTGCAGGTGGCCGCATGTGTGAAGGATTTGCCGCACCTGCGTGACCGCAGAAGAGGAATTGGGCAGGGGAGCTGGGTTCCGCTTAAGCGGCTTGGAGGCTCTCAGAAGCCAGTCTGCAGGAGCAGAATGAGGGGCTGCAGGAGCAGAAGAAGCCGTAGATACGGGTGAGTGGTCTCTTCTGTGACACCATAGAAGCGGTTAAGTTTTTGCAGAAGCGGAAGTGCTCGACAAAACACTTAAATACAAGGGTTCACGATTTTTCTTCATTTTAAACATTTTGAGCTCGGGTTTTGGCTATTCTTGAGAGGATTTTCGAAGGGATTCTTGAGTTAAGTCTCTTGTGCTCATTTTCAATAAATAATCTTGCTTTCGCATTGATTTTCCCACCTAGCTGGTGTGTATTTAAGGTGTAAATTGAGAGTTTGAGGCTAGTGATTTGGAGAGTTCGATTTGGGGATTTGGGTGACAATTTGGTATCGGTTTTTGATAAATTTAGTATGGTTGGACTCGTGGATGAATGAGCTTTCGGATTTTACAAATTTTATCGAATTTCGAGCCGTGGGCCCGAGGCCGGCTTTTGAGTCGATTTTTGACTTTTGATTAATAACTTAGCATTTCTTATGAAGTTGATTCCTTTAGACTGTATTGATTATATCGAATTGTTTATGACTATATTCGAGGCATTCAAAGGCCGTTTTGTGAGGCAAGGGTGTGTTGGAGTAGAGATTTGCTCGGATTGAGGTAAGTAACAGTTCTAAATTTGGTTATGAGGGTACGAAACCCCGTATTATGTGTCATGTGTTTGGTTTCGAGGTAACGCACATGCTAGGTGACGGGCGTGTGGGCGTGCACCATAGGAATTGTGGCTCGGTCATTTCCATGGAATTGTGTAGTTGAACAATATGC